ATGAGTGCCTTGGGGTCGGCCACGGCCTACGAGAAATCGCTCTCGTACGGCAACTCCATCGGCTGGTCCTTCGGCGTCACCCAGGTGCTCGTCCACGTCTCCAAGTAAGGGTTCCGGGTGTCGTCGTTGCCGCAGTCCGTATCCGTGAAATTGTTCATCCAGATCTGAACGGCCGCCTTCCCTCCCACAGACACTGGCGTGGAGTACTCATCGGCGAAGTCCTCTTTGACCTTCTCCAAGTCGGCGCTTCCCGTGAGCACCGTCTCGTGCGAAGGCAGGCGCAGGGGGAGGCGCATCATGCGGCCATTTGGAAGTCTGTACATCTCCGTCACAGTTTTGTACTGATCGAACCAAGGCACATCATTGCTCAACCACGCCACGCACGAGGGGGTCGCCAGAAGCAAACAAGCGAGGCGACAAGGCATCTGAAACCGTTCGCAAACAAGCAAGGCGTGAGACAGCAGGGCGGATCGAAATCCCTCCAGCGTGATTGGTCAACAACTCGATCCCAATTGGCTTGAGCCAAAATGGCAACGGAAACAACAATGCCTGGACTTGGGGCACGAATGCCACGAACCGATCTGAGCATGACACCCAACGCAGGTCGGTTCACACACCTAGCTGTCGCCATGGTGTGCGTTTTGCAAGCGCCCAACATCTTCAACACGCTGATCATCAGAACTTTGGTCCCAAGGCAATATACGGCCAGTCTCTGGGGCGAAGAGGAGGGGAGAGGGAAAGGGGACGGTTCTATCATGCAAGCGATTCGGGCCGTGTGCAATCGAGGCCAGCCCTTGGTCAGCCGTGAGGGAGGGTGGGGAGGATAGAGGGGAGGTCCGCCTGATACCGCGCGCACGCATCCCACCACCATCGAGGTTTCTTAAAACAGGGCTAGGATCGGGATAAATCGCTCCAGAGCGTTCCGGAGCGCTCTCAGAGCGTTCCGGAACGCTCTCGAGCGGCCGCGGCGCCCAATACATCCTCCAAACCCGCCGATTCTCAGAGATTTCGAGTTATCCCGATCCGATTTTGTCCCGATCTTCGCGTCGTTTTATTTCTTGCGACAGGGTTCTCGGGTGCTCCCTCGCGCCGCCCGGACCCCAGCCCCCCCCTCCCCACCTCCCACAACGCCTTCCCCGCCTGCGCCCGTGGGGGACACCTCCTCCTGTGCCTCCTCCTCCTCCTCCTCCTCCTCCTCCTCCTCTGCCTCCTCTGCCTCCCCACGCGCCCACCCCCCCCGGGGGCGGGGAGGCGTCATGCGCCGCATCGGCGGGGGTCTCCCCGGGGCGGCGGAGGGGCAGGGCGGCGGCGGCGGCGGCTGTTGAGGCGCGACGGCCAATCGGCTGCGCTGAAGAGTGGGGCCGGGAGAAGGGGGGGGGGGGTGCGCATCGTGGCCCGAGGCAGGTGCGCGGACGAGTTGGGGCTGGGCCAGCGGATGCGCTGAAAGAAAATGGGGGCCATGAGCTCGGGGCAGATGTCACGATCCCGGCCACCATGTCCACACACCCTGAAGCATCCCCCCTCCAGCCCCAGAAAGATGGGCAAGAAGCCGGCGGTGGCGAAGGATGCGCGACGGCCGAAGACCCCCCGCTCCCGGGATGGCGCGGCCACCGTAGGCGACGGCCCAGCACGCCCTGCGGAGGTGGCCCGGCCTGGTGCCCATGTCCTGCGCGCCGGGCGAGGCGCTCGGGGACCAGCGGGTACGCCTCCCGCCTGCTCTCTCCGAGGGTCGCCATAACGACCACCGCGCACGAGGGTCGACGTCACCGGCGACCGCGAGACCGGGGAGTGGAAGTGGACGCTCCCTCCCTCCTCCGCCCCCCCCCCCCCTTCCCGGCCCCGTCCTCGCCCTGCCACTGCTCTCCTCCCACGTCTCCTGCACCTCCTCTCCCCGCTGCGCCACCCTCGGCTTCTGCTCCTCCTCCTCCTGCACCTTCTGATTTGTCCTGTTCCTCCTCCTCCTCCTCCTCTTCCTCCTCCTCCTCCTCTTCCCTTCTTCTTCTCCTCCTCCTCCTCCTCCTCCTCCTCCTCATCCTCCCTTCCGCTCTCCTCTTCACATTCCTCTCCCCCCAGCCGAGCAAATTTGCGCGCAAACGCCCGAACTTCCCTGCATCGACATGCCTATTCCCTGGGAAACGCACTGCGTGCCGAGATTCCACGAGCCCTCTGGCCACGGGTTTCTTAACGAGCTTGCCATTCCATGCCACGGCGTTTCCTCTTCCGGGAGAGGGCTCCCCATGCCCCACCCTCCCCCTGGATCTGCACGGGGGGGTGAAAGCGCGAGGTGGCACCGCATTGTGCACAAGATGTGGGGTCTACCAGTAGCAGGCATGATGTCGGTGGCAGCGCGGAAAGGAAAAGGGCCTCCTCCCGCAGAGCCGCACCTTGAGAACCAAAGCGGTGCGGGCAAATCGGGCGGCTTTGGCCCAAGGCGGCGGCGGGGCAATCGACACACCAATTATAACGATCCCGACGATCCCCCCCGGAGCGTTCCCCCGAAGCTGAAGGGTGGAAAGGGGGGCGGGGCTTGGCCGCCGCTTTGATGCATGGCTCACGGGAGCGCTTCATCATGCAGAAAGGATCGGTGGCGCCGAAAACTCCAGCCATTGAGGCGATGCGTGGAATATGTATAGAAAACGTTTCAAATCGGAGTCGCGTTTCCGTGATTCCGAAAGCTCAGCCGCAAGCTGCGCTGGGCAAAAATAGCAGAAACTGTACGGCTTAAAGCAGGACGGACCTAGGTGCTGATCGGTGCGATAAGGAATATTGCCGACAAGGGCTGGTCCCTGATCGGTGCGTCGAAATTTGGCAAAACGTAATCACGTTTCCGCGACTACGGACAGGGCGGTGGGCGCGAGTCCGCGCCGACGGGGCGCGGTCGAGAATCCGCAAGCTCACCGCGGGGCTGGCAAGGGCCCTCCCTCTCTACACACTGTGTGGGTGCAGGCGCGGAATCAACCAGACTTTTAGGGTCTCTGTAGGCGTGTGGGCAGCCGCGGCGGTTCACGCAGTGGCGGTGGAGGGTTGTTTGCACATGTGCAGGGCGCACGTCTTCGCCTCGTGTCCGTACATAGCTCGGGATAGCTGCTATTACTTGAAAAAGTAAATATTAATCGTATGGGGCCCTTCGCATGGCCGTTGGCCGTCGCGCCGTGGGCATCGCGCCGTTGGACATTGCGCATGATGCCGAGGTCGAGGGACTCTCGTGCCCAGCTGATGTGTCCCAGCAAAGTCTTCTACGCGGGCGTCTTGAGATCCTGGCTAGGAAGAGAACTGTAGACCGGCCCAGCATCGATGAATACAGAGCCCTCCACGTTCACGAAGCCTGCTGAGTTCTGGGGGAGTAGGAAGTCATGTGATGGGCTCGTGCATGGTGGCCACCGTTGGCCAGCGCTCGTCGAAGCTTTGGCGGCGGCCAGTGCCTTCGCCGCGTAGCTTGACCTGACCTGCAGACGATTGGACTGGCAGGGGCTACCGCAGCAATGTAATGCCTTCCCCGCGCCGCTCGTGCTTCCACGACGCAGCAAGTCACGGCCTCCAAAACCGTGCCATCTGATCTCGTCGTCTTCTTATCCGATGAGCATACTGCGCCCGGAACCGCCGCGCAGGCCCGCCGCCCCATCCGAAGCGATCGGCAGATCGGTGATTTTTTTGGGGGTCTGCAGTTGCTTGCGGGTAAGGGCATTGGAGAGCAGCGCCTGCATGTTGGTCGGATCCTGAATGCGCTTAAAAGAGACTACAACATCATGATCTAGAACTGTGGGGGTACGGTGTATGCTTGGGCTCCTCGAGGTAACAGACATAAGCATCTGGGGAGGCCCCGGATAGATCGGGGTGAGACAACGGGCGAACTTGCTCGATGTCGCCATCTTGATCCAAGACCGCGCCCCCGCCATCCGCCTGGACATCTCGCGCGGCACAAGTCGTTTTAGTATTCTATCTCAGCTTGCATTTCCCAAACAGCTGCTCCACCTGCTTGGCGAAGTCGTCGATGCATGATCCGCTCTTTGCCGCGCGCGTTGATGTCATCTCCGTGCGTCTCCGTGCTTGGCTGTCAGCAGGTCAGTGGCAACTTCGGGGTCAGTGTCGCGTGGCATGGATTTGACAGAGATTCTCTGTGGTTCCTCTAAGCTTTGGCGGGAACTCTCGGGGGGCATCCTCAGTGCCCGTGCTGGGGTTGGGGCGCTTCCAGGAGTGTCTTGATGCGTCGCAATCACCAGGCCCTGGAAGGATTCATGCCAACGCTGCGCTGCCCGGTGGCAGGGCGAAGCAAACAATGCGTTCCTGCTCGCCCGTGGTCCCAGCTAGTTCATTGTAGGAACAACCGTTCAAGACTGGCTTCTGCGCGTCTACATCGGCTGCAACCCAATCCTTATGGCATGCCGCTTGACTGGCCAGCGATCGCCGGGATCTTCGTCGCGCAATACCTGGAACTGCTTTCGCATGAAAAACTACCCGGTACATGGATCCGCGCAGTACCCGACCGATTCCAACAATTGCTTCTGTTTTCCTGCGCCAGCCTTGCTGAACTCCTAGTGGTAGACGCATGTGGGAGCCATGGGGTTTTGAGGTGCGGGCTTCAGCTTCTTGGCGAGGCGTCGGTTATCCCACCATTTTCTGCCTTCAGCGAAAAGAGCTGTGGCCACTTGTTTGGGATGGTTGGTGATGTCGAGTCTTGCAGAGTGAACGAGCTTTCTTAGCGACGGCGGCTCGCTTCATCTCGGCAGAGACGCATGCGCGGATGGTGGCGATGTCGCCGGTCTGCGCAGCTCTGGGCTGATCTTCTTCCTACGGGAATAACTGAAACATGTCCTCAGTCATGCATATGTCGGCACATCTTACTTGGCCAGCCGAACAAATCCAATATAATCGTGTCTGCATCGTGCTCGTCCCCGCCATCTGTAAATCGTGGATGGACTTCCATTTCTCTGTATGATATCACAGGCGTCTCAGGGGGCATCGTGTTTCCGCGGCTGCCGCCATCCTGGGGGGCATCAGCCATGTCACACTGCACGATGCGAGCATGCATGCTTTCAATGGCGACCCAGACGCTCAAGGCCGTCTCTGCGGATTCGTAGACGTGAAAATTGGGCTGGGCCTGCTATCATAATCTGTAAGCCTGCTTCTGTCTGCCGTTCCAAACGGTGGTGCATCACTCGCGCTTTTCGTGAGTCGCATGACTACCACCTTGTTGATCCTAGAGCGCGTCGCGTCCTGGCGCTGGACTGCAACGCCACATGTGCTTTGACGGCTAAGGGTCACTCGGAAAACGTTCTTCTGGTCAGGAAGGTGTCCGAACGCGATATGGGCCTGGTCAGAGGGCAGAACAGCGGGAAATATGCGACGGCCGCCCGCAAAGCCATGTTGTCCAAGCCGAATTCCTCGATCGTGGGTGCTTCGGCGAACAATATGTGTCTGACATCGGGGAGCTGCGCAACACAATCTCTGCTTCCCTATCTGGCAGCGGGCTGTCCTTCTGCTGCATTGACCCTGGTAACCGCGCGTGGGCCATTCCAGCCGCCGCGGTCGTCTTTGGCAATGAAGGGGCGATAGAAGTCGATCAAACGGCCTGCGCGGCATAGCCTGCGACCATCTGCCTGCGCATTCGTCTCGAGCACTTTGTGCGCAATGGCCGCAGCCGTCGCATGTGTTGCAACTTCTATGGCGAACTCGCAAACGCGGCGGTGTCGGTCTTGAGCTGTGGTCTCCGGCTCCTCGAGGTCTGCCCCTTCAAAGTCGGGGCATGGCAGGTTGGCGACCAGTTGAGGCATTGCGTGGTGACAGGGCGTCGTAGACAGTGAAGGCGCTGCATGCGAACATTCCCCCAAACGCGCCTATTGAATGCTGAGGGTCTGTTGCGTCCTTTAGGTCGTCCTCCGTGGTGTGCGCGAATCCAAGGGCTCCATCCCTAGTTTCAATATCGTAGGCGCGTAGGCCAGTGGCTGGCGCGCGAAGCTCGGCGTCTGAAGACTTAAGCTGCGCCTTGGCATCATCATTATTGAACCTCTTTCGCCGTCGCAGTGCGTCGCTATGGCCGCGCTGGTGTATGCCCGTCATGTAGCGTGTCTTTGAGCTGGTTAGGAATATCACAACCACGGACATACCTGATACTTGTGCCGGTGGCATTCCACCTCGTCGTTGGTATTACCCTTTGAACTATTCGACAGCGTGGTGGGGGTGCTGGGGCGTGGGCATTCTCTGCAGGTGCCCACTACGGGCTTCATCAGGTTGAATCCGCGCTCGTCTTAGCCAAGCCATGATAGGAGATGCCTCGTCTTCGGCTCGCCCGCGTGGAAGAATCCTGCGTGGAGTTAGCGCAATGGTTTGTTGATCGCTGTTGGGTCGGAGCTCCAAGAACACTTCAGACTGGTCTGCGTGCCCAGTCGGATAAAACACCGGGGCCAATGCCGCGGTCTCACAATCGAAGCATTGCTCGGGCCCCGCCAGGCGCTCGGCGTCAGCCTCGCTGATGTGCGGGCTCGAGAGGGTGAAGGGCTTCTGTCTGGGGTCCGTTCGCGTGGCCGCGCTCGGACCTCGTGGCAGCGGCGCTGTCTTTCTCTGCTGTGGGGCCAGCAATTGCCCGAGGTCACGGTTTTCGAGGGCGCGCCGGCGCGTCCCCGACCATCCGGCGGCTGCCGAAGATTGCCCACCGGGAGGTTCCTGCGC